AAGGGAGAGGAAATAAGCGCTTTGGGGCGTCTACATGTTAGAGCCAGTTGCCCCGAAGTCCAACCCATGGTTGGCTCATCCGATCACATTCGACAAGCATGACCATCCGACCATGCATCAGGCACGGTGGATCGGCCGCACTAGTCCTGGACCCAATTGTCAATGGTAATCATCTAATATGCGTCCTTATGGACGGAGGAAGCAGCCTCATCCTAATCTACGAGGACACAGTTCGGAAGATGGGCATCTACTCTTCTCGGATGAAGCCGGGCACCACCACCTTCAAAGGTGTCATTCCAGGCGTTGAAGCCCACTGTAGCGGAATGGTCACGCTGGAGGTAGTCTTCGGCTCACCCGAGTACTTCAGAAGTGAGAAGTTAATCTTCGATGTCACCCCTTTTGAAGCGGATACCACGCGCTCTTAGGGCGCGCAACTTTCGCACGCTTCAACGTAATCCGGCATTATGCTTATGTCACGCTCAAAATGCCAGAACGTAACGGCGTTATCACAGTCAATGGTAACACCGAGCGCTCACTCGGGGTGGAGGAGCAGACCGCGGCTTTCGCACCGAGGTACAGGCATCCGAGGAGGCAGCCCGCAATGGTAAACACACTACTAGCTCTTCAAATCGCACGCGGGCTGCACGAGTCGACCTCGGCCACGTACCCTCACACCCTAAATAGGGACGCGGGATCCTTGTGCGCCCTCCTTGGATGGTGAACTACGTCCCCGGGGTGTATAATATCGCACTCAAAATTCCCTGGGCCATCAAGGAGTCAAAATTTATGAAAACGTCGGATCGGCTCGACCGAGGACCAACGTGACTTCGAGCCCCAACATTGGCATGTTTCTGTCACAGATCCGGCCAGCATGACTACACCAACATGGCCTAAACCATGCAACGGACTCCGGCAGAACCTCCTTCAAAGGGCTTGGCCAATAATCGCTTGAAGCGTATAAAGGGCTGAGGCTGCATCAGTCCCCTTCAACGACGAGCTGGTCAACAGCTCGAAAGCGCAGACGTGCAGCTGGAAGCGGTCCGGGCTCCTAAAGCCCGATGACAATATCCGCCCTGTTTTTCTTCCTTCTTTATTTACTCATTTACGATTGTATTCTTTTAGTTCCTCTTGTTGCAGCTCGGCATGTAAAAGCTTGAAGTTATAAATAAAGAAATCATGCCCTTTAAAGGTCTTTACCTTATTTCGGCACAAGCACTGCCTTTGCGCTAACAAGAATCTCTTTAGAAGATACAATTTTCCTACAAGTCCGAAGTACTCGGCGTCTCGGATTTTGGGGCTTTATATACATCAATTTTGAACCTAGATTTTGGTCGTTAGTTGGGTTGCCCGGCTCCTATGTGTACCTCTTACGTTCACGACGAATTCTGCTAAGGGTGTAACAGGAGAACCACTGCGATAGTGCCGCCAGGTTAATTGGTAGAGCGCCTTAGTGGAGAAAGCTGAAAACTAACTATCTAGGTAAGCGCAAACCGGTCGGCCATCCACAGACCGCGTTAAGCGATGTGACGAAAGAGATCACCCGTGTTAAACGAAGGGTTTATTTATCAAAGTAGCCGAAGTGGGCATGGGCATAGACCTCGGTCGCCAAAGCCGACCGCTTCACACACTGGGAGCTCGTCAGTTTTCTTTCGGTTTCCATTTTCAGTTTCTTTCATCTTATTTATGTTTTTTTTTCTATTTTGAATTTCACGTTCGTGTTTTTCCAAATACACATTGAATTGTTTTGGAATGCATGTTAAACATTTTTCAGATACACGTTGAACATTTATAGACACATGTTGAGCATTTGTCAAATGCACATTGTCCATATTTAAAATACATGGTGAACATTTTAATATAATACACTGTGAACATATTTTAGCACAACATTGAATATTTTTCAAACACAGATCAACAGTTTTCCTAAAAATATGGTGATATTTGTTTAATACGTTTAACATATTTTAGTTGCACAATGAATTGTTTTTAAACATGTTGAAATTTTTAAGATACATAGTGAAAATTTATTCAATACACAATGATAACTTTTGTTAACCCATGATGAACATTTTTAAAAATATATGCTGAACATAGTTTGATGTGCAGTGGACATTTTTTTTAAATGATGAACATTTTCTAGGTACAAAATGAATATTGTAAATTTTAAATGTGCTGGGGACCATTTCAAACACAGATCAACCGTTTTCCTAAATACATGGTGATATTTGTTTAATACGTTTAACCTTTTTTAATTGCACAATGAATTGTTTTTAAATATGTTGAACATTTTTAAGATACATAGTGAAAATCTATTCAATACACAATGATAGCTTTTGTTAACCCATGATGAACATTTTTAAAAATATATTCTGAACATATTTTGATGCGTGGTGGACATTTTTTAAATAAATGATGAACATTTTCTAGGTACAAAATGAACATTGTAAAAAAAATGTGCCGGGGACCATTTCTTAGTTAGGCGCATGTGACACCGAAGGGCACCAAAGAAGAAGATCGTCCATACCATGACCAACCGTGGACGAGATGCTACATTTCGCCATAGATTAGATATAGCATTCGTCAGGTCAAAAAAAAAAGATATAGCATTCGTGCCCGTCTATCAAGGCCTCCTTATAGAGAAATGCCTGCTGGGGCTTGTTTCTTTTTGATAAAAAATAAAAATCATAGTGTTCACGTTTTGAAAAAATCTGCAAAAATACACAAGAATCTAGGAATTTATACTACTTCTCTGTAAATTTTCACGATGAATAAATTTTGATGAAAGCTACACAAAAACAGTTCATGTATTTCTAGCACATGCTATTCACTACTCCCTCCATTCCTAAATATAAGTCTTTTTGAAGATTGCACTACAAAATACATATGTATGTATATAGACATTGTTTAGAGGGTAGATTCATTTATTTTGCTACATATGTAGTCCATACTGGAATCTCTAAAAAGACTTATATTTAGAAACAAAGGGAGTATAAAAGTCCGAATTTTGTGTTTTCGTACAGCTCACACCAAAGCATATTTCATCATGTAATTTTACAGGAATGTAGTATATATCTGTTTGTTCATGTATATTTGTTTTCAGAACGTTTTGAAACTCTAAAATATGATTTGCATTTTTTTTTTCAAAAAAAGCTCCATGGAATAGCCATAGGCCCATTCAGTCTTTCTCTTAGTTGGGCCACGCAGGCCACAGGCTCGTGAATACAGAAACGGGAGGCTGAAGCAGAATCGATCGGTCGCTCGTCGTTGCCGACGAGCGGAGGCGGCAGGGGATCTAAGGCGGCGACCCCTCCGGTGCGATCTTTACTCATCGGCGCTCCATTTAGCAGTAGCCGAGAGGACAGTACCGGCGAGTTCCCGAGCTGCGCAGGCTAGAACCAGAAAAGTAGCAAGCAGCAGCAGATCGACGACGGCGAGGGCCACCGGCAGCACGCGTCGACTAGGTGAGCTGTTCTCTGTAATTTACTCTGAAATTCTAGAATTGAAGGCTGATTTCTAGTTAGACTTGTTCAAATTTCAGATTTGGCAAGTTTCTTTTGTTGACACTATATAAGAAAATTCACAAGTTTCTTTTGTTGACACTAAGAAAATTCACAAGCGAACCTAAATATGCTGACACTTGTTACTCTGTGATAGACAAAGCTCCAAGGTTTTGGCAAATATAGTGAGATCATATATTTTCGTTCTTGTCAGAAATACACTACCCTGTTGTCGCCTGTGGAACACTAACTCAGCTCACTGCTGATGAAGAAAATTAGTCGGCATTTGTACCACTAGAAAGTGAAGCATCCAAAATTCCAAATAAATGAACTGACTACGCCTTTGTTCTATCGATTTTGAGGAAGGAATTGATAAGGAGCCTTAAAGCAGCAGCCATGGAGGCAGCATCGGCGCCAGGCAAATCATAAAAAAAAAGTGAAGATGTACATCATAACTACTCATTTGGAAGGAAAGTGAAAAGAGGATAGTTCATCATGAGCTAGCTAGCTTTCAAGCAGTAAAACCGAGGACCTTAGAAATGTAATGGTTCCTGAGCAGAGGAAAACAAGAACAGAATAGAGGATCACAGAATTTTAACTTACAAGAGTGTAGACAGTATTCAACACAATAGTTGAAAATGGAAATAGGTCCGCTGAGTTGGATGCACGCCAGGAAAACCCTCTAGTTACATTCGCTGGGAACATAACCTAAGGGACAAAAAACCTGGCGCACCACCACCAAACGTAGCCTTATTACACACTGAACAAACCAGTTTGACCAAATAAATATGTACAGGAAAAAGTACACAGGACTTCATTTCGTTGACATAGAAGGAACATAAGTTGAACATGCTGACATAGAGGTTTTTGGGATAGAGAGTCAATGCCGATGGAACCACCTTCTGCTAGCTGAAACCAAAGGCAGAGACAAAGAATCACATGCAGTTCATATCATGGTTCTCACTTTCAGTGAGATTTCGGTGAAATTCACTGAATTTCAGTAATTTCAGGAGACACTGAAATATTACATTTCAGCCAAAATATTTCAGCAGTTTCAGTACAACACAGGAATTCAAATATTTTTCAAAATATTTTTTCAAATTTTCAAAATTTCAATTGAATTTGAGTGAATATTTCAGTCATTTGGCTGAAATGGAAACTGAAATCACTGAAATTCACTGAATTTCGGTGATTTCGGTTGGTGCTGAAATTTTTCTGAAATTGAAATTGAAAAACCATGGTTCATATTGCGTCTTCTTGATGGTGTGGTGAAGTAAACAGACAGTGGAGAGCTAAAGAAGATGCTGAAACGATAATACTACTAGTTACAAACATATGCGTGATGTAGGAAAAACAACTGCACGGAATTGGTACCTGGGCATCGGGTTTTGTTTATCGCTCGGCTCAACTCGGCCTGAAATCAAAAGAAATAGTTGTTAGACAAGACAAAAGAAACAGGGGACTGAAAATTAAATGCAGAAACGGGAGTACCTCTCTATCATGTCAGTATTCATCAGCACGAAGGGTGGGGCTTTGGGGATGGCTCTCTGCCACACACCTCAGCATGTCTATGGCTTCAGAATAATCCTCAGGGCTGACTTCCTTATTGGAAAGGTCAATTCTGAGTTGCTTGAGCGAAGGAAGGTTCCTTATGCTCAAATCAAACTCAGGACTGAGGATGTCATTCACTCGGAGACCGAAGCGAAGGCGTTGAATCATTGGCATAGCTCCTTTTTGGAACGTAGGGTTCACCAGTATAATTCTGTGGAAAAGGCATACTCTCGCCTCCGGGAAGGCACCAGCGCTAACTTCTAGCTTCTCCACCACTACTTTGATATTGCCTGTGTCAAGGGCGATATAACAGAGAGCCGGCAGCATCCCAAGGTTCTGGATTTCTCCGGAGCGCACTTCAAAGGCAGTTAGATCAAGGTAGGAGAGTAGAGGCAGCGATGAAGAACAAATCCATGCAGGAATGAGCCGCAATTGGTTGTATGAACTAAGCCTGCGTAGGTTTGGAGGCGGCACCAAACCGTGCACTAGGTCACGCCAATTACCATTAACGGAGATTTCCAGGCGCTCGAGTTTGTGTAGCTTGGCTATGGACCCAATCAAAGCTTTAGTAACTTCATCATTTCCCCCAACATCCAATCTAAAGGAGAGCTCTCTTAGCCTGGTCATATGGCCCAGCTCTTTTGCTGTTTGTTCAGAATGAAAGCTCATATTGTGCCCCATCAGCTGTTCAAGGCATGTCAGGTTGCATAACCCTTTTGGTAGTGACATACCTGAATCAAGGATTAGGCACACCAACTGCCTCAGCTGAACGACACTGGGCGATAATTCTTTTGAATTGGTCAATTGCAAGTCTAGTGTCTGCAAAAACTGTAGCTTTCCTATTTCCATAAGGAGCTTGCCAACCTTTGTGCCCCTTAACCCCAGATATCTCAAATGTAACAATTTATCAACATGCCTAAGGCAAATGCCAGGACTTCTTCGAAGATCACAACCTTCTAGATCCAATACACGTAAAACTTGAAATATAGAGAGAGGGGGGATCTTACTAACAACAGGACTAAAAGCCGTGAAAGACCTTACTTGTGACATGCTTGTGGTACCCATCTGAGTGGTGGTGAGATCTGTCATGCTCTTCTGGATGGACAATCTGCGGAAGTTCTCTTTCAAAGCTGCGTCTCCCTTGATAACATCCAATACAGTAACAAAGTTTACTTCGCTTGATAATTCACATATGAGATCCAGCATTATGTCATGTACACAACAAGCTTCAACCCTGCCATCAACATGCATGTTTATCGGAATGATCATGTTTCTGTTTACTAGCTGGTTGAAGTAGCTATCTCCAAGCTCAAGCAGGCTAGCAGTTTCATCTTCTACTTGGATAAATGCTTCACTAATCCATCTTCTTATCAACCGATCTCTGCTAATTTGATGATCTTCTGGAAAGATACTTAGATATAAAAAGCAAGTCTTCAAATAAGAAGGGAGGTCATAAAAGCTCAATGATAATATCCTCTTCATTTTCTTCACATGATCATCACCTTTTTTAAGTCCACGGCCAATAGAGTTGAGCAAAACATACCATTGATCAATTTGGTTGGTCCTCTCATTATTAGCCAAATAACTAGCCAAACTGATGATGGCTAATGGTACCCCAACACATTTCTTTAAGATCTTTTTGGATACTTGCTGGAATCTAGGAGGACAAACCTCACTTCCAAATATTCTTCTATAGAAAAGTATTTGGGAGTGATTGTCAGAGAGAGGTTCCATCTTATGAATCATATCATCTTTATAAGAGCTGCATATTTTAGAGACATCATCATGTCGGGTGGTAGTGATTATTATACTTCCACACCCATTGTCCACGAGTGCAAGTCTGATTGTTTTACATGCTTCTTTATCCCATAAATCATCGATAATTATAAAGTACCTATGTATATGGAAACACAAGAGGTACATGTTAGCAAAAAAAAACAATTTTTTATCAAAAATATGAAAGCATGTCAACCACCTCAGTAATCCATATGAGGTACTATATTGTTATCACTTGAGCAGTGGGTTTGTTCGATTTTTGGATTTTAATGTTTGAAATTTTGATGGTTCAGTGTTTGATGATAAAGGGTTCCCCGCTTTATATTATAAAACAGCCATCTGATACATGCAGCTCACTGGGGCCACAAGACAACCAAGTCCAAAAGAAAAAACAAAAGAAAGAAACTGACATTTTTTTCTTTTTCGACAGCGATCTTGACAGCTCTAAACAACCAACATTTTTTATTGAGTTAGGACACGTTAGAGCTGTGGGGTCAGTTGACCCCACAGGTTTTTGGCTGCTGATTGAAACCCAGCTATGAGTACTCCTCTGAACCCATAGGTCACAGCAGCTGACCCCACTCTCATTCACACATATGGTGAATATTTTGGGCCATCTAGTAGGAAAACCATTCCAGCTCACGTGCTCTCCCTCTCTCTCCAAGGGCGTGTTTGGTTGCCCGCATATGGCCCAGCCTGGCCCGCGCGAGAAAAACTTGGCCCGTTTGATTGCCTGCGTTTAATGTGAGGCCCACATCGCACGAAACTTAAAGCACGTCCAGGCCAGGCCCAGGGGAAACGCGCGAAGCGGCAGTAGCTCGCAAGCCTGGCTCGGACAAGGCAGGGGAGGGCGACGCGCTTCTCTCCTCGTGCGACCAGGGAGATGGCGCGAGCTCGCCCGCGTCGCCGAAAAATCGGCGGGAGGATTTCGGCTCACCTCCCGCCGAGTCCACCCCTATTTAGCCCCCTCCCTCACCGCCCCAACTCCCGCCACCATTCTCCCTCTGTTCGAGCTTTCCCACCGACGCGCATCGGCACCGACGAGCAGTGAGCGACGCATCTTCATCGGCCGGCGGTCCACGACGTCGGCGCTCCTTCACCGGCCGACGTTGATCTTCCACGACCATCACCCCTCATCCCGAGCTGCAGCCATGGCCTTTGTGAGTTCAATCCCCCTTTCTCTCTGTTCCTTCTAGCTAGATCTGAGCTGCAGCTAGGGTTTGATCTAGATGCATGGTTGATTAGTGGTCTGATCTGTGAGCTCATATGGTTGATTGCTATGTTGTTGCAATTTGTGGTAGGGCTAGATGTTCAAGCATGTGGTAGGCTAGATTAGTAGCAGAGTTTGAAGTTGAACCTTGTGCTTGTGTTGATTCGTGCTTAGATCTGTGATTAGTATGATAGTGATGAAGCATGTGCTTGATATGATAGTGATGAACCATGTACATGTATGCTCCTGCTTTCATGGATTGCCCGGTATGTTGTGTGCTATGCTTATTGTCAATGCGTGCTACGATTGTAGGACATGACCACGCGGACGCAAGATCTTAGTCAGGCACTTGTCCTGTCCGACAACCAGTTTGCTCCACTCGTTTGTCAAGGACTCGCAACCTATGTCCGAGATGGCACCTGATTCAGAAGTGTTCACGTCTGATTCCCTCTATGTGCTAGTAGTGCTCGTTGAGCCAACTCCTGCTGGTGCCGCTGCACTCAAGGTAGCAGCAGCAAAGGCAAAGAAGGATGGTAGGTCGAACAACATGAAGTGGCAGCCGTTCATGTCCATGTTCGTGCTGAACAAGATGTGTGAGCTCATCTCTAGTGGAGTTAGGACTGACAAGGCCCAGGGTGTTGTGTTTGTTGCCATGGTAGACGCTCACAGGGTGCTGTGGCTCAGGACCTGGCTGGGCAAGCGCTACTACTAGAGTAGTGATGCCTATGAGCGTGCATGATCACCGACGACGATGGCGGTGGCGACGAAGATGACGATGACGACGTACATTTTGTGTAGCTAGGGCTGGAAAACTATTTGATGGTTTGTATATTTTGGTGAGGTGGTATATACTAACCCCTCACGATGATGGTGAACTTGCGGTGGTAGGACGACACCCTCTTTTGGATGTGGTGGTAGGATAACATGATGGTAGTACTAGGTAGAAGTTGCTATGCCGTATGATCATGCATGCTTTACTTCTTCTCTTTTGCTACATTGTTGTTTGTGTGCTACTTTGCTTGCTACTTGTGTGCTCCATTGATTTGTTGCTTCAACTCTTGCTCTTGTGCATTGTTAGGGTAAGTGGTATGCTGTGTTCATCGGTAAGGCTCCAGGGGTTTACAGTTAATGGGAAAAAGCCAGTGCACAAGTGGCATCATATAGCAACAACAGCCATAGAGGGTTCAAGACTAGGCAGGCAGCAGTACAAGCTTACTCCGACTGGGTGCGAAAGCACGAAGGCAGCAGTGTTGACAGTGGCAAGGTTGGAGGTGTCAAGATGGATCGTCAGTTTGGGCTGAAGCTGAAGAACTTCATCATCTTTGCCCAGTTCATCCCAATTGTTGTGTTGTGGCGTTGGTGTGCTAGGTGTGATAATTGCGGGTAAGCTCATCAACTAGGATACAAGGTAAGCACAACATGTACGCTGTATGCAACCAAATGTCGTGTCCATGTGCCGCTTGGGCCAATGCAGGCAACCAAACAAAGTGCACTTGCGTATTACCTAATGCAGGGACACTAGATGCAGGCAAGCAAACAATTTGCAGATGGCGTATTAGGGCATGTTTTTGTTCAACCAGCCTGGGTTGAGAAGTGTATGTGATGCAGGAACTATTCACAACGGCAACCAAACACGACCCAAACCATCGAATCTTCAATCTCTCTTCCCGCTCAGTCCCTTTTTTATTCCCCAAATGTTTAATCTCCCTCAAGTTGAGAAGATTAGGAGACGACACTTTTTCTTTAAAACGAGGCAAAAGATTTGCCATTTTCATTAATTAAGAAGAAGAAAATTGCCTGGTTAATTATTGGAAATCTGAACGAAAACCATCACAACACGCCCGCAAAAAGGGAACACCGGGCGACCTGGCACCCACAAGATCACACACACCGTCGAGGAGAGGACACCATCGAAGCTGCCTGCAATGTCATCGTCATCACCTCTCCCTGGCAGGAGACTCCGACTTCGCCACATTGACGACCCGTCAAGACCCCTCCAAACGAACGACACCCAAAGACCTCGTCGGCCATAGCCAAACAATCAGCCGAGACGTCAGGGACCGGCAGCTTCAATTTTTTTATGCGCTTCGTGGGAGAAAGTTGCAAGCCTGGCACCGACCTAGTCCAGCGCAACCTTTGAAGAGCACCTTCCTCTGAAACCACCCTCATGGAGTCATCGTTGCCGCAGGGGCCTGCCACACGTAGCTCCGACTTGTCTGTCACAGTGAGAAACAAACATAGGCGCACCTAATGGCGAATCGGACCTTTGACATCAGAAGGACAAGCCGCGACCCAGCTCTGCACGCCTCCATCGTCGTTGCCGCACAAGTCGCAACGCCAACCACGCGCATCACCGTTTGGGCACCTGCCAACCATGATGCCGTGCACGTCCAGCCCAAGGGAAGCACGGAGTAGGATCATCGGTCTTTAAAGCAACGCCTCAAAGGAGGAAACGCCGTAAAGACGACGCCGTTGCCCAACCCAGACGGGTCTAGGCTTTCACCCGAAGAACCAGATCTGAGGATGAAGCTAGTGAAGAAACTCCACGGTGACGCCTTCAAGAAAGGGAAGGACGCCCACATGCGCCGCCACCACAGGCCGACGCGAGCCAGGCAAGCCTTCGCTCGCTCGGAGCAACTCAAGAACCACCCACCCCCACGCAGACCCGCACATCCGCTGGCCCTGCGCCTCGACAGCGCCATCAACACACAGGATCCACCACCAATCCTCGTCGCCAGCCAACGCCGCGAGCCAGATCTGACCTAGCACGGCCAGATCGAACAACCACCAGCAGCCGCGCCCTCAGCGGAGGAGCTAGCAACCGCGCACCACCACCTGACGGGCGCATCCACCAGGCAGGGAACGTGGGCTGCCACCCCACCGCTCCAAAGAAGAGAACTGGAGGGACGAAGCCCTCGAGCTCCTCACTGCCGCAGCATGAGGGAGCACCGCAGCCTCCACCTCACAGGAGAGCGCCGCCGAGGGATCCGCCTGACTGCACCAGGGTGGCCGCCGAGTTGCCGGAGAATCCGCATCGCGCAGCCGCGGAGGTCCGAGCCTCCCCCACCGAAAGCACACGGAGAAACGCCCCGCCGCCGCCATCTGCCGCGCGGGCTTAGCCCGCCGGCGTCCTCCGGTGGCGGCGAGGGAGGGGCGGCGGCGACGGCGGTTAGGGTTCCGCTCGAGCCGCCCCCTGAGCGACGCAGGCGTCTCTCTCTCTGAAATGGTTTGCGAGTTCCCAGGAGATGGTACTTCGAGGAGCCGAGTAGGCGGCTGTCGATTGCGTTGCCGGAGCCGTGGACATGGAGGCTACAACCTGTGTTTTGATTTTCGGTTTGAGCTTTTTTTCGCCCTGTGCCGAGATGGCCGAATTTCGGTCATTTTCAAAAATTTCGGCAGAAATTTGACCAAATTTTGACTGCAATTTGACTTAAATTTGACCAAAATTTGCCAATTTTGAGCAATTTCGGCCTAAATATACTTTTCGTCTCAGGCCGAGATGGCCGAAATTCGGCCGAAATCCACTTTTTCGGCCGAAAATCAAAACACAGGCTACAACGAGCTTGGAGGAGAGGAGCCAGAGCTCGCACTGCCTGCCGAGTCTGCCTCGCTGTCCCAGCGCCCGTCCCACTGCCGGCAAAGCAGCCGGCCTATGTGTCAAACACTGTATCAAGAGGAACGGAAAGGAGGTCTTCGTGAGTATTGTACAGCTTTGACCCCACAGAATTTTTTTCCTGGCGCCGCCGTTGCTGAGAAGAGTTTATGATGAGGGGTGTGTGTGGCAATCAGCTGGGCTGTTTAAGGGTGATATGTCACCCTTCTTGCAAAGGTAGTTTAGGTGGGCATACCAGGAGTAGTTGGGTCTCCTCTAGCTAAATGCCATCTATGTAAACCGTGGACTGTGGATGAGTCTTCTTTGCCCACTTCTCCTATGCATATATGATACACATGCTTAAGTGTATTCTAGAGGGAAAAAAAAGGATGAAATTGAGCATGACACAGAGCCCCACTGGTGGCAAGAGGTCAAGGTAGGTACAGTGAGAAAAATAGAAGTAGGCGTGGGAACACATATACAATTGGAAATGCATGAAAGATAAGGTGAGATGATTTTAAGAGATGAAGTCTTTTTCCTTATCAAATGAAATAAACAAGTACATGTGCTGAAATAAGTGATTTTGCTTTTTTGTGTGTAGCTCAGACCAAAACATGTTTCATCTTGAGAATTTACAGAAACGTAGTATACATCAGTAGGCATGTGCGTGTTTGTTTGAAACTTCAAAACATGATTTCTGAATTTCTCAAAATTCCAGGTTCCATGGAGCCCGGGATCCAAAAGGTATTTCTGATAAAAAAATCTATTTTCTATCTATATAAGATATAACTCTTGTCGAAGAAAAGGAAATGAGACAAGCGACCATATGTTGTATGGTTTAGGGAAAGGAAAGGTAAAATATATAAGGGAATCGTTTAGAAACGGCGCACCGGCCGAACCGTTCCGCCGGTTCGCAGGCCACGCTGGCAAACACGCCCGCGCATCCCCTTCTCCTTCCTTACACGCCTCCATCCCCTACCTCCAGCCTACGTGCGCGCACCTCCCCTCCCCCGAGCTGCGACTGGGCCTCCACGAACTCCATCGCCGGCGGCCAGGCGCTCCCTCGCCGGCGGCGAGGCGCTCCCTCGCCGGCCACCATGGCTGCCTGCTGCCATGGCCAGATCCATCCCCAACGTACAGCTTTCTAGGGCGCGCATCCCCTCCCCTCCTCCTCCTCCCGGGCAGCGACTGGGCCACCACAAGCTCCATCGCCGGCGGCCAGGGCGCTCCCTTGCCGCCCGCCATAACTGCCTGCCCGCCATGCCCGGATCCACCCGCGTATAGAAGTGTTGCTACCGTCACCTAAAAAAGCTTCAACGGCCATTCAAAAAAGCTTCAACCATAGACATAGAAAGCTTCAATGGCACTGCACAACAAGGGGAAGCTGCAACCATAGTTGAATTTTGCTACTACCGGCGAAGCTTTTTGCTACATCCATCAGGCGGAGCTCGGACCTCGCGACGACGACAACGATGTTTTGCTGCAACCGTAGCAAGATTTTGCTACAACTAGCATCGTTTTTTGCTACAACCGGCATAATGTTTTTGCTACATCCATCATGGCCGAGCTGCGACCCGCGACGACGACGACGGCTTTTTGTTACAACTGTCATAGGTATTTGCTACGTCCGGCAACGGGCTTTGTTACATCCGTTCATTTTTTTCAGAATGCAAATGTTTTTGCTACAACCCGTTTTTTTTGTTGCAACCATGTCTCCATTTTGCTACGACCAACAACAAAAATGCTACAACGGTCAATTATATTTGCTGGAACCAGTCAATCGTCAGCGAGGCGGAGCTGCATCCATGGCGTGCGCAGGCGGGATCCATCCATGGCGAGCGCGGACGGAGAAGCTGCATCCATGGCGAGCGCGGCCAGCGGAGCTGCATCCATGGCGAGCGCGGCCAGAGGAGCTACATCCATGGCGAGCGCGGATCTCCGACGAGCGCGGGCGGCGGAGCTGCATCCATGGCGACCGCTGTTCTTGGGCAAACGCAAAAGGCCGGCGAGGGCGCCCACCGGCGACGAGGAAACGCCGCGGTGGTGCTTCAAGCTCGGCCGTTCTCTCGCGCGGTATGGCGTGGTCTCGGCGGCGCTCGGGGGGAGGAGACAACGTGAGAAAGAAGGGAGCCTGGGCGAATCGTTTTCTTACCTAGATCTGACGGCCCGCGCGCGACCGGCCGAAACGTTGGGCCGGTACGCCGGCGCAGATCACTGCCCAATATATAATTATTATAATTCTGAAGTAAGGAGACTATATGGTGTGCACTTCAAAAAAGAGAACATGTCAGTTATTTAGATCAATCAAGGATCAAGTAGAGAATGACAATGCGCCCTACTTTGCGGCTACAGGTGGCAAGAGGCCACGTTAGGTGGACGGGGCTTGCCTGCTCCCCCCATATACTCCTATCGGTGCTCCCATCTGGTTCAACGGACAAGATTGTTTTATGCGAAGGCCCACATCTGCACCTTCCCTTTCCTTTCCCAGTGTCTCTTTTTCTCGTCCCTTCCTCTGTAACTCATCATCGATAATGGCGTCCGCCTCGTGCGATCCCAAAAATCTCTAGCCGGCTTCTATCAATCTCTTAACCCAAAAATATCACGACCAAAATCGAAGGAACACTGTGAGTCGCCAGGCGATGAGAACACAGGACACTGGCGAAAGGGGTTCCTCGTGCTACTGCAGCAGTGGGTCCTTGCAGCAGCCATGAAAAAGATAAGAGCAGCACCGGTAAAATTAGGCATGCAGTCCGCAGTCGGTCCTTCGCTCGCCCCTACCCACACTGTACCGTGGTGCCCTCCGGCCGTCGTGTACGCATATCATATGATATCAGGCTTTATTCATCTCAGCTTTCGTGATCAGCTCCGGCAAGCGTTCATGTACACACCAGTTGATCGAATGATCAATCGATCGATCTTTCTTATCTCAATTTTCACCAGAGTGTTGGGGTGCTACTTAGGCGATGAGGATATGTCAACTAGCAGCTGGGGATCTGGTGACTGGTCCCTGGTGGCGCCGACCATGCGCCCACATGATCGCGTTCCTTGGCTCCTTGCTCTCGCAGCCGCCTGGGCTAGACCCGAGACCGGAGTCCATGCGCCGCCCTGCCATTACCAGAGCTACGACATATGTCCTTGAGATGTATATAGACATCGCTACAGTCCAGCTTAGCCGCAGTGCCGCACACATCTGATTTTTTTATTGCTATGTCGATTTATTTTGGGGCCAATTGCTACGTCCATGGGTTGTGAAATTGATAGAAGTCGGCTGGAGTTTTTTGGGATCGCGCGAGGCGGACGCCATGATCGATGATGAGTTACAGAGGAAGGGTCGAGGAAAAGAGACGCTGGGGAAGGAAAAGGAAGGTGCAGATGTGGGCCTTCGCATAAAACAATCGCGTCCGTTGAACCAGATGGGAGCACCGATGGGAGTATATGGAGGGAGCAGGCAAGCACCGATGGGAAAATAAGGTGAGATGATTTCCAAGGTGTTGTCGTTTTTCCTTATCTAATAATGTGAGGCAAAACATCTACAGAAATTTAGTATTAAATAGAAAGATACATATATGCATCACCCACTAGCTAGTTATCCTTTTCTTTTGACCAAAATTATAATCGTCGTTTCCGGCAGGATTGACGCTATGGGTGCTTCTTAGATGTACAACTAGGCCACAAGAAGTCTTAATGTATTATATACTGGAGATGTATACGTGCCATTAGCGTGGATGGCATCTGCAGCAATATAAATGACATGGTTGGTTGGATCGGTGCGGCGTACCTTTTCTTGCTAAGCAGTTCACGGGCTAGGATGATGAGCTGCTCTACATCCAAGTTTGCTGCATTCATACTAGCGTGTTTTTCCTTGTCAAGTTTGAAGAGAAGATTGCTTAATACTTTCTTCATGTCGGGATTCCGAGACACAGACACAAAAGCTTTGTAACCAAATTTTGTTGGAAGGGAATCATATACTTCTCTGGCAAGTGTGGTCTTGCCCAATCCTCCAAATCCCACAACTGAGAGTATCTTGAGATGCGCCTTGGACACTGGATCACCGTCACTGATCTTCTTGATAATATCGTCCCTTGCTTTCTGTAGGCCGATGATATTCTTCTTATCCCCGTAGAAAACCTCCCAGAAAGGGTCAGTGGTGGTCCTTTTCGCTGCAGGTAAATTAGCAAGATTATACCTTTCATGTCGTCTGGTCACATCTTGCAACCGCTCATGGATCTCTTCGACTGCTGTGGAAATCTCACGGCGAGCCTTGCCCTTTTTAAACACGTTTAGCATCTTGGCCATGAGCTTCTTGAAGTTGAACTGATCAGCATTGGGGTCACTGCCCTCAACACGCACCAGGAGAGAGTCAACAACATCCTCCATGTCGTAAGACAGCTCCCTGACATCGTCAGCCCAAAGCTTGACTTGCTCGTCGAGCTGATCCCGTGGCACCTCTGCCACCTTGCCAAGGGCAGCGCGCATAATATCCAGCTCGGCAGAGAAGGACTTGACCTTTTTCTTGACGCCCTTCTGTAGCTTGTACTCCTCCTTGATAACCTCGCTCAATTTGTTGAGGGAGCCCATGGCCCCCATGGCCAGATCCATGGCTTACTCAATCTTCTCTTGCTGATGGTCACCGGGGATGGTGTCACGATCTGAATACCAAAAGGGAGAAAAAAAAAGCAGAATGTAACAACAAGATATTACAAGGGAATTGAGAGATACCACAAAGGGATTCCTAAAGCTACTGAGTAGTTAGTGAGGGGGCCTGACCAAATCTTCTGTTGTTGATGGGCACCGGGCATGAGGTTACGATCTGAATACCACAAGAAAAGGAACGGAAATGTTACATCAAGAGACTACAAGGGGAATGGAGAGATATCACAAAGGGATTACTGAAGCTAATGAGCAGTGAGGGGATCTGACCTCGATCCAAAGACAACGGCGTTGCGGTTCGTCCCTCCCAAGGTGCCAGTGGAGGGGATCTGAACGAGGCCCTCCGCAGCCGGCAGGGTCAATCAATCTTTGCTCTCTTGCTTTCTATCGGAACACAGGCTCCATCTTGCTTGTCCGTGTAGTGGTTGCTGCAGTGTGGCTCTGCCCAAAGCCTAACAATTGTAGTATACTGGGAAGGGCGAGAGGGGACGAGTGGGAAGAGGACATGTATGTGGCCGGCTTTAATCGGGGAAAGACTTTATGATATCTCATATTAGTTGAGATCTGAGATCTGTTGAGTATGTGTTTTATATTGCACGTGTATTGGAGTTGTGGCTCACCTTTTAGTCTTGTATAGTTGAGGTAGAGGCCTTCTCTTGTAATATATATACGTGCACCAGCATCCCATCAATACAACGATTATTGTATTGCAAATCATCTCTCTACATGGTATCAGTTTTTAGGTTTTAATCCTCGCCTTCCGCTGCCGCCGCCGCCGGGCGACTCCTCCCGCGCCGCCGCCGCCGCCACCCCACCACCGCCGCCGCTGAGCGCTCCTCTCGCGCCGCCGCCGCG